CATTGATGGGATCGGGGTTGTAGCGGGGGAAGACGCCGAAGCGAGAGCGGGCTGTCGAGTCGTAGGAGACACTTGGGTGCCGCGCAGGAGGTTCATGGGATCGAGAGATAGGGGCAGGTCCAGGATGACGGTATGCGCGAGCGACACGCCAAAGTCGTGCATCATCTTAGGGGACGAGATCCCGGGGATGGGTCTGTTGACGAGAGAGGGGCTTCGCTCTGCTGGCTTCGAGGGACTTGGTGTGCCGTGGTTGTATGACAGAGTAGCGAACATAGGGGGCAACGAAGGTTGAGTGGTAGGATATCAGCTCGTTTGTCAGGGGGTCGACGCGCGGGTGGGCCGTCGTCCATTCTCGCATCCACGACAGGGGCCCATGTCCTCCGAATGTGCCTTCAGAGCTTGCTGTAGGGATCTCATTCTCTGCTTTGGCTCCATCGAACCACCCAACTGTTTCAAGGGAAGGCAGCGTGAAGCGTAAGGGCGGACCGCTCTCACATGTGGCCAAGGCACGACCGTCATGGAAGATGACGCTTGTGTTGGCAACACTGATCTTCTTAATTGTGGCACCTGCGCTCTGAAACTGGGAGAGAACGACAAGGAGCACGGCTCGCATAATCTCGAACATGATGTGCAGGAAAGATGACGCTGGGTTCACTAACGAGGTGATACTAGGCAGTACAGGTCTCGTCAGATGTTTATTGCGCTTCGTATACCTGAACACATCGGTCTCAAGGTATTGATTGACAAACTCCGGAACGATAGAGCCGTCAGTGGAAGACCGAAATAGAACGCCTGATAACATGCCGTCGCCGTCGAACCAGTGTGCTGTGCGCTCTGGGTCATTGTTGGCGAGGGGGTTGCCGCCGTTACGGACGTACTGCCCGCCAGCAAGATCTGGTGGGATTGTTCCAGTGTACGAGCAGCGCGTGAGAGGAAGAGAGCTCTGGATAGGAGCGAAGTTTCCAGAGAGGTATCTCGACTTGTCAGTTTTCATCTCGAAGAACGCGTACAGCTAACAAAGATGTGCTGAGACTCACGGATGACTAGTTCTTCGACTTGAAAATGATGCAAAGGGAACATGCTCTGCTGAGCCTTCGTGTGGTCCCCCCATATTCTCGGCAGTTGTATGAGTACTCGAGGCTGAGAAAGCATTCAACTTGATGTTCTTCACAGAAGAACAATCATTGGTAAGGATTTTCAATTCCTTGTCAAGAAGTTCTGAAACGGGCACCTTGGACCCAGACACCCATAACCTACTAAGACACAAAAAGATCAAACTTACAACCAAGTTGCAGCTTGCCTCGGCATCGGATTTTTTAGGTAAGTCGCAAACTTCAAGGCTCCTCAATCGACAGCATCTACGGGGTTGAAAAACGTCGTCATGACGAAAGACCCTTGTTTTTTGCGCACTGATGCCGCCATTACCGATGATGAGGTAAACTCACGCCTTACCAGGGCACACCAAGGCCGCCCGTTGGATTTCATGACAGAACATTGCTATTTGGCACGATCGTGAATCCCATGACGGCACTTGCAAAAACGGTGATGCAAGGATCCTGGTCATTCAGCCCACTACCGGAGCTAATGGGAGCTTAGATGGTTGACAGACCGGCACGGGGTTGCCGAGTGGACCCCCCCGGAGCAACGGCCGGACGAGTGGTGACTTCATCGACCACCGGCAATGGCATCGACGCGGCCGCCACAATCAGTCATGTGGATTTCAATGCTATCGGGAAAATCTTGAAATCTCTACTACATCGTGAGTTGTCTTGGCCCATCACGTAGTCATTGGAGCGTCCCGCCCATCACTATGTTGCTCGTGACCCTCAGGAACACTTCTGGCCAATTCGCCCGTGACTATGTGTAGGCAACATCTATCGGATCGGGGGTTCGGTATTGCCACGAACTTGACTGATGATTGAGTAAAAGGTTTGCATCAGTAGTGAGATCTTGAAGAAGCGTTGATGAGATCGTTCGATGTTCACCACGTCACCATGCCACCACGTCAGCCCGAAGTCATATCGGAGCATTTGCGACCCTGGAGCTGCAGCAAGAAATTAGTCAAAGTACTGCAGACATGCGTATGGGTGGTTATCGCGATAAAACATCAAAGCCCATGAGGTCATACTACTCTAGCTAGTACACCCTCAACGACTATATGTTCAGGACCCTGCTCCCTTCGAACTCCTGGGCATCGGCCACTGCACATCGCTCTGCGAACCACCCAGTACCGTATTTATTTGACGTTTCTGATCATTATTAGAGATTTTTACATTGGCCTTGGAACATCTCACAATGGGAGGCAACCAAGCTCTCAGCGATAACAGCGGCGTCGGCCAGCAAGCCGACTTGGCCATCTCTGTTCGCGCATCTGACTGGTATTACACAGTCTGCGCCATCATGGGAGCTTCAACAATAGCATTCCTGGCCATGGCGAGTCGTAAGCGCCAAACCCATCGCCTCTTTCACTACATCACGGCCAGCATCACCCTGGTCGCCTGCATTGCCTATTTCTCCATGGGCTCCAATCTTGGTCAGACGCCCATTCAAGTTGAGTTTGAGCGCTCCGATCATTCAGTGAGCGCCGCCGGCACCCGTGAGATTTTCTACGTTCGCTACATCGACTGGTTCATCACGACTCCGCTCCTGCTCCTCGATCTCTGCCTCACCGCCGGCCTCCCCTGGCCAACGATTCTTGTCGTCATTCTAGCCGACTGGATCATGATTGTATGCGGTCTCGTTGGCTCCCTTGTCACCTCCTCCTACAAATGGGGCTACTGGGTCTTTGGCATGTTTGCCTTCTTCTACGTCGTCTACGCCCTCGTCTTCGACGGCTGCCACCATGCCAACGCCCTCGGCGGCTCCATCTCGACCACCTACACCCGCTGCGGTGTCCTCACCATCTTCCTCTGGTTCCTCTACCCCATTGCCTGGGGGCTGAGCGAGGGCGGCAACGTGATTCACCCTGACTCTGAGGCCATCTTCTACGGCATCCTCGAGAA